TCATGGGCCCATGGTCCGCTGGCCCGTATCATACGGGATATTATGCACGTCCGTTCCCTCGTATTATACGGAAATAGGTCACTGTAATATGTGATTATCTCGCACGCGTCCTTCAACATCGAGCTAACGATCAAGATCAAACTTAAATGTCTCAGGGTCTGGAAGATGTCTGGATCATGAGAGATCTGGAACAATTATCAAAATTTGAATTGATCGCACTCAGGAGGAGGGCACTCACCAAGTGACTACCGTTGTCCCAGCTGAGTCATGGTATCATAACCTGCCTGTACAGTGTATGCGTGGATTACCTGGCTTCAATAGTAAGCCGACGAAGTGGTTGCCCATCCCAATAACACCCTGTTGTGCGTTGTTCTCGCAGGTAAGCATAGCATATAAAATACTGGGTGGGAATTGGGACGGCAGGACATCATGCGTCACCATCAACGGCGTCCATTTCGGAAACTCTGAAATGAAGGCACGAAAGTTGAAACCGGGGAATTAAGAAATTGTTGGTAAGGGTGGTATGATGAATAAAACTTGACTGCTTGACTTCTTCAGCAAATACAGCGATGGCGCTGTTATTACCAAAATAAGTTTGCATATACCAGTCCTAATGAGGTGAAGGAAGTATATTCATGAGCAGCCTGGGCCCTGGGCAATGCAGATACCCGTTGTAGAGACTCGTGTGTCTCATGGTCTGATATGACAGCTTTACACTAGGAAGTACATAGCATGAACTTGTAGTGTCACTCTGTGGGCTACCCGCAGCTATCTCTATATGAGGCGCAGCTTTCCCGCGCTTGCGCGCCCTATAGCGCCAGCCATTCAGATGCATCCATCCACTGTCCACCAAGCTCCCTAGTACGTATATTTCCATTTCCTTTATTAGCATAGTTCCACCTTTATTTTTATCATAGTTTCTCACTCATATATATTTTTACATACCTACTCGGTAGCGCTTCGGCTCCGCATGACCGCACTTAGGCGCGCTATATAAGCGCCAGCAGTACATACTACACTTTACCTTACTTTTACCTCCCAATTACTAGTTATCACCTACTTACTACTTAGCAGAATATAGTAGAAGTCTATTTGTCTATACTTCGCATCTCCCTTCTCTTTTCTTGCATTATATTATCACTTGAGTCTAGTCTTTATCATTTTCTGCATACGCGCGCGCGCTTTCCCGCGCTTCGCGCTAATACGCGCGCGTGTTCCCGCGCCTTGCGCGCACCTGCGCTTTCTCGCGCTTCGCTGAAGCGCGTACCTCTAGATCTTGGCTGCACTCGCTTCCCCTTTAGGGTCGAACGCACTTGTCTCCTCAAGTAACGCAGGCTAGGCAACGCACGACCTTCAACTATTATAGATACAGCTAGGAGCATTATTTGTTCCTCACAGTATTGTTGTTTCTACACCGTTTCATTTGTATCACCTCAGTTAATTTTGCGGGGGACATTGCAACTCCGCTCGAAATGTGAACTTGGATTCTTGGAAGCCCCTGGTCACTGGTGCCATGATGAGTCTAAATTATTCTAAGCTTGAGAGGCGGTAATGTCATTACACCATATCCGATATAGCGAAGATCATCCAGGTCATCAATGCATCACCACGAGGACTCGTTCATAGCTTCCAGTATAAACAGAGCTCTCGACTCGGAGCTACAGATGGTTTTATGCAAATAAAATATTTTTATGTGAGCTTGAACCACTTCAATGGAGTCTCAAACATGTTATCATGATATCACACAAAGGCCGGGCCTAGAAGGATCTATCACCATGATGATGATAAGGTCTCAGTTCACTGCAGGGAGCTCTCACGAAAACTTTCGGCGTCAACGCTCACAAGCACGTGTTCATCATGGTTCGAGTCGTAGCCGCCTAAACGACTTGCTGCATTCCACTCTGAGTCTACTCTGTCCGCTCATCTCAAAGTCTTCCAAATTTTGCTAACTTTTCTTGGAATCCAATATAGTACCTACCACTTCTTCATGTCACAAGCATCAGCCACCGACGACGCCGAGCATCAACACACCCACAACGATGGGCAGCTTCTCCCGCAAAACGACGTCATAGGACCCATCGAGGAGTGAGTTGCAGCTCCCTGAAATGTGTCACTTGTCTAACAGCAAGACAGGGAGAAAATCAATGTTGAACCTTTGGCAGAGCTGCCATCAGGGATGTATGTGTTTCTTCCCTGATGGGCGTCTGTGTCACTCCTTACTAGAACCGCAGCTCAAATGCTGGACCATCACGGCCGTTAGGACCTCTGGTACAGCAAAGTACATTTAATGTTCCACCAGTCGACAATTTAACTCCGTGAGTCCTTGTCAATAATCACGCCAAGCATACTCCTCATTTGTTTCAGCGAGGTGGCAAAGCTTGAGGCAGGGAAGGATGAGCCGACTCTAAGGGATTTGTGAGCCAAAAATTGAAGCCAAGTGATCGCAGCTGACCACGCCATACACGCAGAGCAAATGTTATGAAGGAAGTATTGAAGGTTCTCCAGGACTCGACGATTGCGTCGAATACTGGAACAGACGAACGGTTTCGGTTCTGGAGGGTGTACAAAAGAGTCGCGGAGGAGCACGATAGCAAGTTCCTCGAGCAATACACTAGCGACATGAACATCGTCCTGATCTTCGTAAGTTCAGCCTGCTGATCTATATTCCGTTTCGAGCTTGATGTTCGACCAGTCTGGTCTTTTCTCCGCCGTCAGCACGTCTTTCATTGTCGCGATGGAGTCAGATTTCAGTCCCGACCCTAGCGACACCACGAATGCCCTTTTGAAGCAACTCATGCAGATCAGACTTGGCAATCTCGCTGAGGCAGGCTCCGCTCCCGTAGACCCAGCATCTATGTGGTCTCCGACTGCGTCGACCTTATGGGTCCAAACGATCGCATATGCAAGTTTGTCTATGAGCTTGCTCGCTGCATTCGGGGCCGAGCTGGGAATGCAGTGGCTAGGGTACTACAAGTCGAAGAGATATGGCCGCGGGTAGCAGGAGCAGCAAGGGAAGCGCAGGCAAGAGCAGTTCGACGGCATCATTACATGGTATTTTGATGGTGTCGTGCAATCATTTCTGGTCTTACTTCAGATCTCTCTTCTTCTGTTTGGGATCTCTCTTGGCGCCCATCTGTGGTACGAGCAGGCAAGCATTGCTTGGGTCGTCATCGGAACAACAGTCTTCGGATTTCTATCTTATTCCCTGACTGTAATGGCTTGTGTGATATCTACCACTTGTCCATTTCAGACACCGATATCAATGCTATTACATGTGTTGCACATCGACAGTAAGATTATTTTGCCGAATTCTGGTGGTCTCCCCGGTCTGAATCAATATTGCAGGCGCTCTACACCTGGGGTTCAAACGAGCTTTCTGTTATTTCCAGTGGCTCACAAAGTCATTGCAGGGTGAGTTGTGTCCTCTTCCACGTGCACAGGTTTTGACCTTTTCATGTCAGGCGTGCTGGGACAATTGCTTAGTATTATCAGATCTGGATGGACCCGATTGTCTGAAGTATTTAGAGGTGACGATCTTATCTACTATTACAAAGATACTCGGGGCTCATTCACTCCCTAGGCACTATGCATATGGTAGGTACATCCACACGATGATGTCTTCAGCAGTTAATCACTAGGCTTCATAACTGGCTGCGTTCTTTGGTTCTGTGGTCTTTGACAAAGGTTGTGGACTCAGAGGCACAACCGCTCGGCCAGGATCTGGATGTTTTGGCGGAGAATGATGACACCCTTAACCTCGACTTCCCTAACATACCCACCAGCGATCTCGAAGCACCTAGCGTCAAGTGGCTACTGGACACATCTACGGATCCTGAAGTATTTCTCGCTGCTGCCAGGCTTGTCCCGCAGCTCGAATGGCCCCTGGATCTTGATGTTTCGGACATGCTGCATCAGCTGGTTGATATTTTTACGAGTTGCATCAATGTTCGGGGCAACATCATACCGTCTTTGGAGGAGAAGGCTTCGGCTTGTGCAATGGCTCTAGTTCATCTATACTATGGATGTGTTCTTCAGGCAGATTCTGTTCGTGGCGATTTTATTATCCACGGGAGCCAAGATCACGATGTGTTTTTTCATATTTGCAACCCCATGCCCACAGCCGAACAAATGGTGCTTGACATGACTGTAAATTTTTGTAATCCAGATAGCGAGAGCTTGACTATTGATATCTCAGAGGCTTGCCCTGACTCCATCTATGAGCGGCTGTCACATCTTCTTCCTTATCACTTTGTTACTGGGCGAGTGGATGAAAAGATAGAAAACCTCGCGATAACAGTGATATCAAAATTGCTATCATCCCCATCTTCTCCGTCGAATCAAATCCTAGCCAATTGCATTCTTCTTGCTTGCGTCATGGTCGGGGCTCAAGTTGACAAGAAAGACATAGTTCGGATTGATAAAAGGTGTCATTGGCTCATTTTGTAGTTTTTCTGTCATGATTAACAAAGAGATCGTGTAGTTCTGCTCTGCATCGACTCAGTAAGTCCCTTTTGGCGCGGTTCCAAAAGGCTCTCTGGGCATGGGATGGAGGCGAGCTCGACGAAGATAGCACATGAGTCGCACGCCGGGCATGGAAGCTCCTCGATATCATTTGGTGCATCCTCGAGCTTGCCAGAGATCACTATCATGGTCCAACTCATTCCATGCAGAACCTGGAATTGTGCAGGAAGATTTATTCATGAGCGAGGTCATCTGAGCAAAACGATGCCTCGGTTTTGTTGGAAGCTCTGCGAAATGCACTGCACTTCACTTTCGCTGCTGCCAAGGTATCCCGTGACCCTATCGAAGTGTGGAACTGGTCTCGGTGGGAAGATGAATCCCACTCGCCAGAAGACTTCGACTGGGTGGTCGACTACTTCGACTTCATATATTCCGACCACCACGAAGCGGCATATGACATCCTTTTGCTACTGGGTAGTATGGGAGTGTGTTGCAGCCCCGCTAAACAACATCTGTTCATCGAGAGGCTCATTGCCTGCATGGACAGTAGCATGCCTCTCCATTTACGCCACGCCGCTCTTCGCGCTGCTCACAGTGCCCGAGAACAAATTGCCTCGATGGATGCCATTGATGATTCGACGCTACGGGACATGATTTTGACCAAGCTCTCTCCCGCTATTCTGTCTGTGCCTTGTCCGCACCTGGGTACAACACCCGTCAATAATGATCCCGGCTCTTTTTTCAATTATCGCCGCGACCTGTGCTATCTCAGACTGGTCTTTGCCCTCGCGAGAAATTCTGACTGGCACCCCCATTTGTTGAGGGATCACCACATAGATTGGTGCATTAGCATGATTCCCTGGTACTGCAATTCCAGCTACTGCGAGCATGCATTTTTCGTAGCTGGTATCCTCCTCCAAACCACACCCGAACAGACATCGGTTATATCGCTCAATTCTGTGACGGAGCGGCAGTGGTGGGACGTGATGAGAAGCACGTGGAGTAATCTTCCTGGTGACATTAATAACGCACGCTATTTCAAGCTCCTTCTTGTCCTTGTGGATCGCAAAAAGAAGTATATGCAGATTGCTTCGAAATCTGATCTTGAGCAGCTCACCCCAAATATGAATCACTTTGTCGAAAGGTTGGAGGGGCACATACGATTGAAGAGGCAACTAGGACATGAGATACAAGATTTAGAGCAGAGAGAAGGGATCTTCATTGCTGCGAAGGAGTTGAGGACTACAGCTAGCAACATGCTGGAGAGATTTGGTCAGTAATTATTAGTCCCCTAATCATGACTTGCATGCTGCGTTAGAGTCTTGGAATAGAGGAAGTTACGAGCAGTGTATGCACGGAAGTGGGGAGTATCAAGACCTCAATGACATTGATACTGAATCATCAGCCATCTCTGACTTGGTAGATGCTCGTCAAGCGTGAGGAAAAATGAGCATGAGATGCAAATATCCAGGAGACCAGGATCTAAATGTTGACCGGGGGAGGGGAGGTTGTCCCACGGGGGAAAAAACTAGACAAGGTTCTGCACTGAGCTGCCAGCCTCAGTCACGTCCCTTGATCGATATGCACATGAAGTCAAAGATGGGGCGACAAATGCAGACTTATTAAAAACCATTTGTGCCCATATTACAATCACTTTTTTTGGTAGAAATCATAGCGCTGAAATCAATACAGTTGACCACCAGAAGGGAACTTGTTGTATGTCGACTCGATCCCCAATTATCTGGAATCTGTAATTCTGGCCCTGAAATCATCGTGTTCGTTTGCTTGTTCGCAAAACGGCATGCACAAAAACCATGTGACGGCTTCAATGCGAGCCAGAAGGCTCGACTTTTGAAAGTGTACAAAGTTACCTACGAATGCCACTAAATCTGAATTTAGAATTATCTCGCACGCGTCCTTCAACATCGAATTAACGATCAAGATCAAACTTGAACGTCTCAGAGTCTGGAAGATGTCTGGATCATAGGAGATTTGAAACGATTATCAAAATTTGAATTGATCGTACTCAGGAGGAGGGCACTCACCAAGTGACTGCCACTGTCCCAGCTGAGTCACGGTACCATAACCTTCCTGTATGCACAGTCAGATTACCTGGCTTCGACAAGCTGATGAAGGGGTTGCCCACCCCAATAACACCCTGTCGTGCGTTGTTCTCGCAGGTAAGCATAGCATATAAAATACTGGGTGGGAATTGGGACGGCGGGACATCACCATCAATGGCGTCCATTTCAGAACCTCCGAAATGAAGGCACAAAACTGGGGAAGTAAGAACTTGTCGGTAAGGCTGGGTGATAACTTGAGGTATGATGAATAAAACTTGACTGCTTGACTTCTTCAGCACATACAGTGACGGTGCTGTTAATAAGTTTGCATATACCAGTCCTAACGAGGTGAAGGAAGTATATTCATGAGCAGCCTGGGCAATGCAGATATCCGTTTAGTTTGATAGTATCACCTCAGTTAATTTTGGGTACAGAAGCAGGTGGAGGGTCAGGCTCCTTCCCATCCGAACGCTTCGAGTTGTGAGGCGGCATACTGCGGCTGCGGCACTATCCGAAATCACGTGAAGAATTCAAATCCAGCATAACCTTAACCTCCCTCACACTCTCAGCGACGGCTGGAATAAAACATTTGTAAACAAGCGCCAGCCACAGTGACAGTGACTATGACACCTCGAAAACAGTAGCATAAACCTAACCCAGGGTTAGGCATTATAATAATAATATACTGTAGATATTGTACAACTGCGGCTACCATGTCAAGATAACAATTATTAGATCATCTCATAGACATCGATCATGACAAGCATGCATCATCTCGATATTGTCATCCGAACGCTGGAAGAATCTAACCTCAGCGCGTCTCAATTTATTATATCAATCCTTGAAAGCCAGCATTATAAAGGTCATCCTATTGTTGAAGATCTGTTCACGCGCTTCGATGACATATTCAGCGCCTTCGTTAGATACTCCCCAGCGAAATCACAGCAAACAGCAAAATTGATACTTAGATGACAATATATGGATGAAATCAAACATCTCTCATCTGAAGAAGCCGGTTGGCACTTTGGAGCATTGCATGTCACTACAAAGCAACTCGAGGCGTTCTCGGTTGATGACATGGCCATTGACATGGCTTCGTGTGCACCTGCTCTGTGGGATTTGCTGGGGTTCCTTCTAGGCGCTGACTGTCATCCTGCCACGCTCGAGAATAACTTAGAGGATGCCGATGGGGACACCATGATGGGAGGGGAGCTTGCCGTCGACTCTATGAGCACTGCTGTTGATGACAGCTATTGTGACACAGTTGACGCTATTGATCTCGAGGGCTTTGTTGAAGGACTTACTTCAGCATCCAGCGGTACAGCGGCACTTGAGCTAGACAAGCGGCAGTCATGATGCACAGCAATTATTGCTATTGTGCGTGCATCAGGCTCGTTGCATCTTAATCTACCTAATATTGCAATAAATTAGAAGCGTGTTGTCATTCTCAGTATATTGATGCAAGGAACGAACCAAAAGTCCAATGCGCTGCAAAGTATACTCGGCATTTTTCTACAGTCTGTGCATGCGCCACAAAAAGTGATCGATACCCTGTCACGCATTGGAATATCCATATCATGCAATACAATCAATGCCGCCATTCGATCATTATCAGCAGAGTCACAAAATACCTTACACGCTCTCGGACAGTCAATGCTTGCGTGCTATGCATATGACAACTTCAATGTCGATCTGAAATCTCAAGTCCCCTTAGCCGAGAAATCCAATGATACATTAAAACATCTCACATCCAGTTTACTATTCCCTCTGCAGCATGGTATCACTCTCAATGACTTGAAATGCTCCGAGGCATTGTGGAGACAGTCTATGCTTAATCCTGATGCGGATAGCTTCCTCCTGCCCAAGCGGTCATGGAAGGACCTTTTGTCTATACACCCGGAAGTAATGCCTCAGAGCACTCCTACGGGGCTTTTTCTTTCTCGCCATGACCGATTTAATGCCTGGGTCTTCTTATCTGACTTGTGTAACCACGGACCAGTATATTTTCGGTGTTTTCAGTCAATGATTCCTGACCCAGAATCTATTGATAAAATTCCGCTAGTACAAACTCCTCTGACTGCCGCATGAGCCATGGACATCAATAACTCAACCGTTACCGGAAATATACAAGCTGTTGTGTCATTACTCGCACAAGGTGGTGTCCATGACCCAGCAGACACCAACTTGAATTTCCCAGACATCTCACAACATGTTGTCCTATTTCATGGTGATCTGGGCACTGGTGAACGTCTTCAGGCTGCGCAACTTCGGCAGTCAATAGAAGCAACTCCATGGAACCGCTTACAACATGTAATTTTCATTCCCGGTCTATTCCATCTAAAGATGGCATGCGTAGATGCTATCTGGCGCTTGTTTCTGCAACCATTAACTGCCAGGGAAGACGAGACTAGTCTCATGCGGGATGTGACACACTTACGACCAAAAGAAACTGGGATCTACTGTTCCAAGCCTGGATTCCGTCGCATGCATCAACTTGTGGGACATGCTGGCATATGTTGGCGACTCGATTGCTGGCGGGTTTATGTCAAGTCCAAAAATCCAAACTACACGAGTCTTGATGCTTTTGCTGCATCTGAACCCACAATCAATATCTTGCAGGACATTGCTAATGAATTGGCGAAGCTTTATGTTGCTGGTCGTGACCTATACCAAATGTGCTGTCAGCCTTGTGAACGACGAGATGTGCAGTATGAAAATGCCCTTATATTAAACAAATACTTCCTCCTATAGGAAGAATTGTCTTACGCTATGAATCACGGAGATATCGGACGCGTAGAGACATGTATCATCCCCTGGATTCCAATCCTCAAGGCCACAGGAAAGCACAAGTATGCTACACACATGACGAACTTTCTGTTGAATGTGCATTTTGTTTACCCAGAAGGTCTAAGGTAAGCGATGGCACAACCTTACATTGAGTAGTAACTGTTCTGATGAATGTTAATAGACGGGCAGTTCGTTATCACATACTTGTCAACCCCAGTGGTAAAGAAATGAAGTGGCGAGCAGTGGATTGGTGCGTCGAGTTGAATAATCTATTCACGAAGGTAAAAAATGGAGGAAAGGGTCCAAACCGCACGCTAGAGCGAATTCTGCTCGAATCTCCTCTCGTTCAGGCATATCGAAATGCTCAGACGATGATACAAAAAAATTTCCTTCACACTCATCTCACAACAAATCATGCAGCGTCAAACATGACAAAAACCTTCGAAGGACTCTGTATTAAAATGGGTGTTCATTCCCCTCATATTGTAATACCTGGTAGAAAAAGCCGTCACGAGATTGTAGATGTTCTAGACAAAGGAAGGGAGCTTATGGAGAAGGGAGCACGTGGGGAGACAGACCAAAGTGAAGATATGTTAGCTGAAGGTGGGGTAGAGATGGACGATGTATTGATAGAGCTGTTGTGATGGCATTAAGTACAGTAGCATTAAGGAGTATAGTAGCGTTAAAGTTGCTATAAAATCAGAGGGATATTAGCAGATAGTCGTTAAAATGCACTGTAATATATACATACATTTTCTTTGTTTTGTTCAGAATGCGAAGGGTGACTTGGACAGATGCGGTTGCGAGCTAAACATAAGATAGCCATTTAGTATCAAGTATCCATGAAAAAGTGGAAAATGACATTACCGTTGTGACCCTCCTGCCTACAAGCGCTACATTTGTTCTTGCGCGTTGTAGAAACAACAATGCTGAGAGGAACAAACGAGGCTCCTGACTGTATCTGTAAAAGTTGTAAGGTCGCGCGTTGCCTAGTGTGCTATACTTGAAAGGACAAGTGCATTCGACCCTAAAGGGGAAGCAGGTGCAGCGAAGATCTAGAGGTATGCGCAGAAGTGAAGCACGAGAAAGTGCAAGTGCGCGCAAGGCGCGGGAACATGCGCGCGTATTAGCGCGAAGCGCGGGAAAGCGTGCGCGCGTATGCAGAAATGAGAGACTATGCTTAAGTGATGATATAGAACAAGATAAGAGATGTGAGATGTGATGTGCTAATGAATAGGTTTCTACTGCGACTTTCTAGGTATTAAGTAGGTAAGTAAAGATGGGTGAAAAAGTAAGTGAAGTAATAGTATGTACTGCTGGCGCTTATATAGCGTGCCTAAGCGCAGTCATGCGGAGCCGAAGCGCTACCGAGTAGGTATGTAAAAATATATATATGTGAGAGTCCATGATAAAAATAAAGATGGAATAATATGCAATGAGAGAAATAGAAATATATGCACTAGAGAACATGGTGGACAGTGGATGGATGCATCTGGATGGCTGGCGCTATAGGGCGCGCAAGTGCGGGAAAGCGCGCGTGCATATACATCGCGAAGTGCGGGAATGGTGCGTGCATGGCGCGCGTTGCGTGGGAAAGCTGCGCATCATATAGGAATCACTGTGGATAGTACACAGAGTGATGCTATGAGTTCGTGCTATGTACTTCTTAGTGAAAACTACCATATCACACCATGAGAGGCATGATTCTCTACAGCGTGGACGAGCCTCCAATGGGATGAGGGACAGCAGTGAGAGGCCTGAGAGGATTAGTAGCAAATGGCGTAGGAGCATGAGCCCTAACAATAACCACCACATCGTCACCAAACTTCTCCGCATCTGTCCAGCCCGTCTCCCTTTTTAAATCTTGAACGGTCTGAATTTTGCAGTGGTGTGCGGAGTCGATGATGCCGTCGAGGATAGCATTAGGCATTATTATGGTAGCACCGAAGTTGTTGAGATGAGCCCAACCATATACTGATATAGCCTTTTGTTCGCGCCAGTTGTTGAGAGTGGTCCGTAAGGTAAAATCTGAACCCGTCATCTGGAATTTGGGTAGGCGGGAATGTTGAGGCAATGGTGGTGGTTTAGAGACGTTGGTGTCTAGGAAGTCGAAGTGGTCAGGATTGTGAATATCACAGCAAATAGATGGTTGGGAGACACAGCAATGCTTGCAGCCCAATGACTGCGATGAATCACAGCAGAGATGGTCGCTTTCTGAGAGCGAAGTAGTAAGCAAGAGGAATTAAAATTGAATTGAACTAGATTTTCTCACCAACTATGTCATTGTTGTCGAAGCAAACATTGAATACCTTCCTTCGGCAGTTCAGACCGGCGCGCTTCTCAGCATTGATCAAGTAATCCATCCCAAAGTCCAGATTCCGCTTTGCTTTGCTTTGCTTTTGTGTTTGTATTTCACCTGCAGCCTTGTATCTCAGGTCATCCAGCCCAGCATTTTCTATGCGTGTCTCATCCTCGTCATCCCCTGACATATCACTCCCATCATCAACTCTCTCACGCACTGGAACAACGGGCAATTGTGAGGGCATCCTAGGATTTGAAGTGTTTGCCATTGCATGTCGCTTCGGCATTGGGTTTGGTGGGTGGTCTCCTTTTCTCTTCCGATTCAAGGCTTGTTCACAGGCTTTCTTTCTAGCAGCCTTTGCGTCACACTCGTCATCAAAAAAATCTTTTTCGGCAAATAATATAGCGGTGCCCTGAAGATTCCTGTCACGGACTGCACGCCCAAACCGCTGCCAGAGGACTGAGAGCTTGCATGTTGCACGCCATTGTAACACAAGCTGAATGTCAGGTACGTCCATCCCCTACTCATGAATTATATTCAGATTGTAACTAACATATGCTCAGTAGTACTCACCATCCCAAACGAGTCCATTGTGCAGAATCCCCAACAGTCACCTGAAATGAGGTTGGTAAGTTCTGATTCCTTGTATTTGGACGTCATATCTGAATTGAACCATTTGATTTTGTGCCGCATTGCAGGTGGTAACTGACTGCGTAGGTACCGAGTGGCATTGATAGCGTCCTGAATGTTGTCGAAAAAAATCATGAATTTAGGTGGCGGGGCGTCGCCAACATTCCAGCCAGGAAGGATGAGGAAAGCAAGGTCGGCATAGCTAGTAAGTGAGTACTTGATTTTCCTCACACCAATCTTGATATTTGCACGATCACTAGAGCGGCGTATGACAGACATTTTGTCAGCGTGCATGTGGAGAAGTCGCATGGCGTTAGTTAGTGAACCTTGGGTGAGTGTGGCAGATGTGATCATGATGGGTATTGTTGACGGCAGGATGTAGCGCAGGCGACCCAACTCCTTGTATTCCGGACGGAATTCTCCCCATTCAGTGATGCAGTGGGCTTCATCGACGACTATACTGACGATATGCGAGGTGAAGAGCAGGTTTTTGAGTAGCTGCTCAAATTTGCCATTTGGTTTCATGATTTGCTCTGGACTGACCGCTATTGCACGGTATTTGAACGCTTTGATAGCCTGTTGTAAAGTGAGTAATCGCGAGGAAGATACTGTTATCAGGGTTGACTAACCAAGAAATTTGTAGTGGTTGCGGTCTCAGCATTGATAGCTATGGCCGGTATTCCAGCGATGCCCAAAGAATCGGCATTTTGCTTGCCGAGTAAGTTCAAGGGGGTGATGACGAGCTGAATACCATCTATTCTGAAGAGCAGGGGTATCCAGAAGCAAAGGGTCTGTCCCATCCCAGTTCCTGCAGTGCACAGCATGTCTTTGTCGCCTTGAAGTAGGGCCTGGGCAACTTTAACTTGCCATAGGCATGGCCGTACACCAAATCTATCTTGAGTTTTGCGCTGGACATCAGCGGTAGAAGGTGTGTCCTGATTTAGAGTCAGGCTCATTTGATGGATATGAAATTGGTAGCTGCAGTTGTACAATATCTACAGTATATTATTATTATAATGCCTAACCCTGGGTTAGGTTTATGCTACTGTTTTCGAGGTGTCATAGTCACTGTCACTGTGGCTGGCGCTTGTTTACAAATGTTTTATTCCAGCCGTCGCTGAGTGTGTGAGGGAGGTTAAGGTTATGCTGGATTTGAATTCTTCACGTGATTTCGGATAGTGCCGCAGCCGCAGTATGCCGCCTCACAACTCGAAGCGTTCGGATGGGAAGGAGCCTGGTGGAGGGTGGGTGGCGCAATGACATTGCAACTCCGCTGCTAGCGAACTTGGATTAATCCTTGGAAGCCCCTAGACTTTCTACCAGCGTCACCAGCCAGATCACAAAAAGAAATTTCGGATACGGGGAATCGAACCCCGAGCTACCGCGAATTCTAAGCTTGAGAGGCGGTAATGTTAACCATTACACCATATCCGATGTACATGTATTTCATCCCGACCATACATCAAAGTAGCGATACATATAGCAAGGAGACAATGTCGCATGTCCTCTCCGCGACGAAATAAGTACCCCCTCTCAACTTCACAACCGTGATACAATATACCAACGCACCATCAGGCGCCCAGTGTATGATATTGAAACATATTCCACTTGATAGATATAGAACCACATGGCTGAGAGTAATAATTAAGGCGATAGATGACCATCAGCCATCAGATCAACGACCCCTACGTGTCACGAAATTCTAAAAATACAAAATCAGTCCACGATCCTGCGCCCGAAAAAAAAAGCTGGCTCACATCCAGATCCTGTGATGTCGCCACGGCAAGCACGAAATTTTTGCCCTGGTCCGTAACTACGACAATCACCACCAGAAGTCAGAACCGGAAAACCAAAACATTCAACTCGAAGTGCACCTAACGCAAAAATATTATCCTGCAAAAACTCTGCCAGTTCCGCAAGGGGCGTCAAGGGAGTTACGAGGGTGTAATGCTGAGACGCGCTACGATTGAACTTGGTCATGTATTTACTGACGGAGTCGTTCTGACCGTCGGATTAAGCATGCAAGGGATAGTTGATCTAATAGCGATACGTACTGGCGATGCTGTGCCTGCTTCCCACTTTTCTTTCAGAGCAGCGACGTCTACGTACCCGAGCGGACGACGATCACGGTTGAGGACGCTGAACAGGAAACTTAGCCATTGGCGCTCATGGAAGACACGCACTTACGGTATATGGGAGAAATCACGATCATATGCTGACTCCATTGCGCGAGATACAGATTCGGAGGAGGGCAAACAGAATGCAGGGGGAAGTTGCAGGTCCTAACAATCGATGATGCGTTGACTTATCTCAGTTTCGTACAATAATTAATTTAATGATACGCACCTCTACAACAGCGCCACGGTATCTATCGTTCGGAGGCATTGATGTTAAGGCAAAGATGTTGAAAGGGATTGCGTCTGATGGGAGTTGAATTGAGGTTGCCATCTTGAGGGGACTGGATGAGATAGAGTACACACGCACCACTTAAATCGCCAGAGCTTTAAAAGAATGAAACGATTCCTGTCAATTTCGAAGCGAAAGTCGACCGAACCGGACAGTACCCGAGGCACCGATGTCATTGGGAACATGTGACTCGCTATGACCGTGTGACACTGATGTAAGCCTGTGAATTTCATTTCTTCCTCATCCGTCAATATTTTGTTTTGCTGTTGTATTATGTTTTATAGCAATTGTCGTGTGGTATTCTTGGTCGACGGTCATTCGTGAAAATTGCTATAAAGCAAGTGAGTACTCAGTTTTGGAGTGATTATGTAGTAGCTTATCTATGAACGAACTAACACATGGCGATAAGCTATATTATCCTGGCACGAACAAGAAAGCGATGTTGCCGGGGCATAGCAGTTCGATCCGGTTTTGATGGGCAACAAGTAAGTGATTGATTTATGCGCATTGGGCAGCTCTCAAATTCAAATCTCTCCGCACACAGCCCACACGCCAGGCAGCTAGCTAGCTGCGAATGCAACGTCTAACTCGTCTTACAAAACGAATCCCCCAACCCAAATAGACTCCCGCCTGATTGTGGGAGAGGTTTCATCAAAATTTCAAATGTTCATCCAGCTCCTCGTGCGCCGCTGAACCTCGAGCAAGTTGGGCACAAGTGGAGTACAATTGTGTGTTGTTTCAAAGTAAGCAACTGCTCTGTTTTGGAATCAGGGACCCGCTGCTGCAATATGATTGAAATGGCCATGTAGTTGTTATCCGACATCAAGACGATGGAGGCGACCGACGGTCACCCCGGATTTGACTGAGATGCTCCTATATGTGGATGCAATTAGTATCCGTCGATCAATCTACTTGAAGGCTTTCTGCCTACTGAGTTGGATCCGCTCATCCGTCACGCACAGCCTTGACTTTTGAACGTGTTTCCTTGCGCCTCAAGCAGTCGTGCGAGAAATAAGCTGTGTTCACTCTGCTGGAACGTCACGGCATTATACTCGTCTGGGACAATATTTATGATTCCTGATAGTCACTAGGCTTATGACCTGCCGTATAGTACCACGGACAAGTCGAATAGTGCGTCAACCTCTCAAAGATGTAGTTCAGAGTCTCAATAGTCACGCCAAAGTCGACATTGACTCAGGCGTTCCTACCAATCTGTCGCTTGTTACAAATGTCTTTGCTTCGAACGCCCGTAGGGCTTGTGACTATCGGACATCTGCGTGATTTCATTCAACTCATTCGACAACATTTGTTGGGATCAATCAAAGATTCTGATGCGAGATACGGACACCAAACTAATCACTATAAAAGCGATGGACAGTGGTATTTCTGCACACACTCAAATACGCCCCATCACGATATGACCATAGTCTCAGATGATCCCGCTCAATGGCCGTTCATCAGTTTTTATCATCTTTTGGGCTATTTTGTAGGTTTGTAGAGAGAACAATTGTGACGTCAATAGTGACATTTCAGTATCTCTGACTATCGCTTCACAGTTGCAAGCTCTACTGCGGTGATATACAACTGGGGTGAGCGAGATAATACGTTTCGAGGGATTATTGATATGCATGAAATATTCAAGCATTAACATTCGGACGAGAGGTACGTTGACGTCATGATCTGTGCATCTCACTGAGAATGCTTCCACAGTTCGAACTGATCTTAGTGAGCAAAGTCCTATATCAGAACCAAACAGCATGATGCAGTTGGCTCGGGCAGGGACAACGTTGGTCCATCATAACCGTTCTTTATATTTGTGTACGTTTTTGCTATGAGCGCAGTTGGAATGTTGTGTTGACTCTAACATATGCTAGGTGCGCTGGATTGGAATAATATATTCTGTGTACGTTTGCAAGGCTATCTACATAACACTGCAATGTGCTAATAGATTATCTCGGAACCAGCGCCTACATCTTGCGTATGTATGTTCAAGTGTGTTCGCTTCTTCTGACTGATGGCATGCAGAGAGTTTACCTGTCTCGATCACCGATGCAGTAGGTATTCTGCACCGATGCCTATCATGCCCATTCAACTACTAACTACGCTTCTATACAGGAGTGAGTGATATTTTTTTCGGCCGGCTTGTTCTCAAGATAACGACTACGACAGTTGTGAGTTCATTTTAAGCAATTATCCTACTACCAAGTAACTAGGTTTTCAGGCACTATCGTTTGGTACATAGGGACATGGAGCCCTGTTATCGTCAATGCCATGCTAGGCGGTGAGCTCACCTGTGGTTTCGTTACCGATATTGACTTGACTAAAATATCATTCAAGTCATCATGATTGCTCGGATAAATGCCATGTATCAAGGATCCAAAAAGTTGCTTATCTTTCTTGTTGTGATGTTGTTGGGTTCCACGATTACTTCCGGAGTTATGGTGGTAATCGCAAACCTGGGTGTTTCATCGCGTAGGTTTCAGTATTGATGAAAGCCTGGAGCCCAAAAGACTCATGGTCACTTACCAGAGGAGGCCATATTCTCTGGCTACCACATCTGCTGGACCGAAATTGACATGTACAAGCAAAATCTGAATTTCGAGAGTATGATATCCACCGCTGTATGGGAGATCCTTGCCTTGTTTCTTACGGTCTGGATTGTTATAAAACACATCCGGGAACTGCGACAATCGCCAACAGGATCGACCATTGGGGACTATTTCATGGTGTTAGCAGAGAGTCACGCGTTCTACTTCCTAGCGTGAGTTTGGTTATTCGGATGTTCTTGTCTCGTTTCGCTGACGTTCCGCATTTGTTAGCTTTGCTACTATGGCCTGCTTCACACTTGGCTTACTGTCTCCGAGTATCACCTCGGTGCGCTGACCTGTGACTGGCGTGTGCATCTGACCACTGATCCTTTTTCTGCAGAACTCGTGGCTCATAGAAAGTCCTATTTTTATTGGCGTTTGGTCGATTGCCCAGATGTTGCAGATGTTCGTGCTGGGACCACGTCTGATCCTCAGCATTCGAGAATATCATGCTAAGCTCGTAGCCAGGGCCGACGAGGAGATGGGAATGACGCTCATTACTTTCCAAGCTGGTGGGGCTGCGTTTATTGACGAAGATGCGTTGACTGGCGGAGATGTGTAGCACATAAAACGATCCAAATGATCGACCATGGTACTGTGCGTGGAGCATGCATATTTTTTGTTGCTCTGGTATATCATGCTACGTGTTTGGTGTTCCGATGGTCAGGCGCAGGTCCTTAGAAGTGCAAGATATCTTGGCGCAGTGGCAGGAGGTGGTAGTCCTACGGTCAGTCCTGCATAGATAGAGCCGTAGCCTACTTCCATCTATCGAGGTTTGGCCTTTGATTTCCCTTGCAGTCTGTGCCCGATCCACCGAAGTGATTTAGAGGACAGAACTTCTTTGACTCAAACTCTGTACGGCGCACAGACAGTCGCAAAAAATTAAGGAGAAAGAAAATCGTCGGTCCTGCGACACCATCACATGCATCTGGAAAATCCCAGGATTTCCTACCATCACTGATCAGATGTAATAATATACTAGTTAAGTGCCCGGTTTATCACCGAGGGCGCAGTGGCACTAGTGAAACAGACGCTGTATTCAGGAGCTAGACCGAGTCAGGACTAAGCTCTGTGAGTACAAGTGCATACAACCTACAAGAGAATGACATACGTCAGGAAAGTGCGAATTCTGCGGCAAAACATGGGCTACTGATACCAAACCATAATCACGTGGCTGGGTACTGAGTACTGAGTGACGAAGGTGAGACCTTTAATAGCACTACCAGGAAGCAAGAGATACTGTAAAGTGGCAAGCAGTAAAAAGTTTTGCAACATTAGGTTAGAAACAGATATGTCATGATAGCTGCAGGCCTCGCTCACGTCTAATTAGATCCAGTAGTACTGACCCGGGCATCCCATTCATGACGGCACCGTCTGTTCTCTGCCAATACACAGCTTTGACATAACGAAGTCCTGCAGTCAGTCTGCATTGGTATAGATTAATGGTTACTGACAGAAACTGATGCTAGTATCACGAACTGTTAGATCTTATCGGTGTTCAAACATTCAGCGGGTTTCAGAGATGGCCGAAATGTGCTTTGCTTTCGGAATGAGGTGCTTCTCACACTACACGTGATTTTATTCTGTGATCAATTAAGATCATTCTGATTCGAACCACGGACACCCAAAGTACTACTAAAAGCGATGGACAACAGTATATCTGCACGCACTCAAATACTGCCCATCCCGATATGACTAGATATCCAAATGATCCTGCCTGGTGGCCACTCATCAGTTATACTTGTCTTGTCAACTATTTTATAGGTTCGCAGAGCAATTGGGATGCCAATGGCCCTGAGGTCTCAATATCTTTGACTGTCGCTTTGCAGCTGTATTCTTTGCAGCGGTGATATATGATTGGGGTAAGCGGGATAATACTTTCCGAGGGATCATTGATATGTATGCAGTATTCAAGCATTGACATTCGGACAAGAGGTAAATTGTTGGCATAACCTTTGCATCTTACTAAGAATATTTCAACAGTTCGAACTGATATTGGTGAGCAAAGTCCCAAACAAGATGGTGTAGTTGACTCGGGTAGAGGCAACGTTGGTCCTTCATGACTATTCTTTATATTTGCGTGCGTTATTGCTATGACCGCAGTTAGCATGTTGTGCTGACTTTAACATATACTAGGTGCGTTACATTGGAATACTATATTCTGTGTACGTTTGAAATGTTATCTATATAACACTGCACTGCTAATAAGTCATCTCTCGCAACCAGCGCCTACCTCCCGTGTACGTGTCCTCAAATGTGTGTGCTTCTTCTGACTGGCGGTATACAGTGAATCTCCCAATCTCGCTTACCGATACAGTGGGTGTTCTTCACCAATGCCTGTCATTCCAGTTCTCATTCAACTACTAAATACCTTCCTATATAGGGGTGAGTGGTATTCTCCGCCGGGTTGTATCTTCAAGATAACGACTTCGACAGCTGTGAGTTCAATTGAAGTATTTATTCTACCACCAAGTAACTGGGTTTTCAGGCACTATCGTTTGGTTCATACAGGAATGGGGCCCTGTCGTAGTAAATGCCATGCTGGGAGGTGCGCT